ATAATTGGATATTCAAATTAGAATAAAAAAATAAATTATATGTTCGTTCCTTGTCTTGAAGGAAAGCGACACAGATTTTAACTTGATAAATTTTAGCAAAATAAAATTTAAGAATTATGAGCCAGTCCTTGTGCATCGTCGACCATTTTGTGAACACGCGTTCCGATACCAGGCCTTTTCTTCTGTTTCCGGTCTCGTTCGCATGCGGAACAATTTTGCGATGCTTTACAAATGCACCTTTTACCGACAAATATTGCTGTCGATGTTTATTTTTTACTTCCGTTCATTTATTTAGTTGGATCATCAATTAGATGGATGAATTAGAAATTCAAATTAGAATAGAAAAATAAATTATATATTCATTCTTTGTATTGAAAGAAAGCAACACAGATTTTAACTTGATAAATTTTAGCAAAATAAAATTGAAGAATTATGAGCCAGTCCTTGTGCATCGTCGACCATTTTGTGAACACGCGTTCCGATACCAGGCCTTTTCTTCTGTTTCCGGTCTCGTTCGTATGCGGAACAATTTTGCGGTGCTTTACAAATGCACCTTTTACAAATATTGCTATCGATATTCATTCTTCACTTCCTTATATTTATTTAACACTGTAACCAAACCGGTCAAATGACCGCTCTACAAGTTCCTTATTATAAGATACACATTTTGTTAAAGTACATTCCTTGATCAGCATTGATTTCCATCAAGATAAAGAATAAATGTGAGTACTAATTTATGTTTCGTCGTTTGGTTACTTTTTTTTAACTTCATTTTTAATTTCAAATTAAGTACACGTTGTATGTTGGTAGGTTTAGTGTTAATTGGATAATCAATTGGATCAATTAATTGGATCAATCAGTTGGATCAATCAGTTGGATCAATCAATTGCATCAATCAATTGGATAATCAATTGGATCAATCAGCAGCATCAATCAATTGGATCAATCGATTGGATCAATCAGTTGGATCAATCAGTTGAATCAATCAATTGCATCAATCAATTGGATAATCAATTGGATCAATCAATTGCATCAATCAATTGCATCAATCAATTGCATCGATCAATTGGATCGATCAATTGGATCAATCAATTGCATCAATCAATTGCATTAATCAATTGCATCAATCAATTGGATAATCAATTGCATCAATCAATTGCATCAATCAATTGCATCAATCGATTGGATCAATCGATTGGATCAATCAATTGCATCAATCAATTGGATAATCAATTGCATCAATCAATTAGATCAATCAATTAGATCAATCAATTAGATCAATCAATTGCATCAATCAATTGCATCAATCAATTGGATCAATCAATTGCATCGATTTAATTAGATCAATCAATTGGATCAATCAATTGCATCAATCAATTGGATCAATCAACTGCATCAATCAATTGGATCAATCAATTAGATCAATCAATTCGATCAATCAATTAGATCAATCAATTGCACCAATCAATTGCATCAATCAATTGCATCAATCAATTGCATCAATCAATTGCATCAATCAATTGGAAATTCAAATTAAAATAAAAAAATAAATTATACATTAATTCTTTGTCTCGATAGAAAGTAACACAGATTTCTCAAGAATCTTGATAAATTTTAACAAAATAAAATCAGAGAACTCTGAACAGTGAAATGACCGGTTTCAGTTAAACGTTGACGGAGAAAATCTAACTACATTTAAATTTGATGCGGATCTGATTGGAATTGGACATAAATTTGATATGTGGATCTGATTGGAATTGATTGGAACATAAATTTGATAAGTGGATTCGATATAATCTTGAAATGGAATGAATATTATATAAGATAACACTTATACATATACATCGCATGATACCAAATCCAACATATCATTTATTGATACACGACAGATCTGAATCGGAAAACCAGGTGTAGATCTGAATGTCCTACTCTGATTTTATACGAATATCTAACCTAATTTGATTAAATAATCCTGACTTGATCTAAGAGTTTGACCTGTAGCTACCTCAGCTTAATTAAATCTAAGAATTTGATCTGCGACCCCAACTCGATCTGAGAGTTTGATCATACTCTGATACCAAACATTGCTTGATCTAACAGATTTGTACAAGAAAATGCAACGTAACATGACGCAGCGTATGTCTAACGTATTCAGATCTAGATACTGAAAAAAGCTGAGCTCTGTCGCTAACACGATCTGATCGAACCCATGTATCTTCCATAATTCTCGTGATCAATATTGATGGATAACTCGAGTCGTTCTATCCGCTTTTACGATTTGCTAAATGACGCAAGAAAATCAGTGGTCACGGTTTTTGCTCGCAATCGTTATCCGTCGTGGTATGTCGATTTACACGGTCGTGGAGCAGTATCGGTGCGATCGAGAAATAAAGATGACATCAACGTTCCGCTACAGAAAACAGTCGGGCTGAAAGTATCCGCAGTCGTGCCGTTCGATTTTTCATATTTCACCTCTCGGCGAGAGGATTTTCGCAGCTCGAGACAGAATAATTATTTACGAGCCGTAATTGCGGATAATGCAGGGTGCGCCGGTAATTATTGTGCAATTTGCGCGACCGTGTCGCGGCTAGGTTGCTTCGCGCCAAATAAATTAGCCGGCTTAAAGATCGCCGGATAAACGCGTTAATTCATCGCGAAAGAGAGCAAAATCGACGTGGATATTGAGTTACGACGCGACATAAATTTCCGCGCGATGTAACGCGATATTCGATGGGATCTAGCCTAACTTCGATTATAGTTTGATAGGCGAGGAATCGATGACCTACGCGTTGGCGTTGCTGCGATCTTTGCTGGGGGATGCCTTGTGCATCTATAGGGAAATTGCGGGGAGGGGCTAGGGAGGGCAATTTTAGTTGCTCTTTGGGGAGGTTTATTTTCTAATTTGGGAATTTGGGGTCTGAGGTATTGGAGAGTTAGGGATTTGGAGGTTTGAGGATTTAGGAGCTTGAAGAGTTGGAGATTTAGGGATTTGGAAGGTTGGGAATTTGGGGTTTGAGGAGTTGGAGATTTAGGGATTTGGAGGTTTGAGGATTTGGGGGTTTGAGGAGTTGGAAATTTAGGGATTTGGAAGGTTGAGAATTTGGGAGTTTGAGGAGTTGGAGAGTTAGGGATTGAATTTGGAAGGTTGAGAATTTGGGGGTTTCAGGAGTTGGAGAGTTAGGGATTTGGAGGTTTGAGGATTTAGGAGCTTGAAGAGTTGGAGATTTAGGGATTTGGAAGGTTTGGGGATTTGGAGATTTTGGAGTGGAATTTGGGGGTTTGAAGAGCTGGAAATTTAGGGATTTGGAAGGTTTGAAATTTGGGGGTTTGAGGAGTTGGAGATTTAGGGATTTGGAAGGTTGAGAATTTGGGGGTTTGAGAAATTGGAGAGTTAGGGATTTGGAGGTTTGAGGATTTAGGAGCTTGAAGAGTTGGAGATTTAGGGATTTGGAAGGTTGGGAATTTGGAAATTTGGAAGATTGAGAATTTGGAGGTTTGAGGAGTTGGAGATTGAGGGATTTGGAAGGTTGAGAATTTGGGGGTTTGAGAAATTGGAAATTTAGGGATTTGGAAGGTTGAGAATTTGGGGGTTTGAGAAATTGGAAATTTAGGGATTTGGAAGGTTGAGAATTTGGGGGTTTGAGAAATTGGAAATTTAGGGATTTGGAAGGTTGAGAATTTGGGAGTTTGAGGAGTTGAAAATTTAGGAATTTGGAAGGTTGAGAATTTGGGGATTTGAGGAGTTGGAGATTGAGGGATTTGGAAGGTTGGGAGTTTGGGGTTTGAGAAATTGGAAACTTAGGAATTTGGAAGCTTGAGAATTTGGGAGTTTGAGGTGTTGGAGATTTAAGGATTTGAAGGTTTAAGAATTTGTGGGTTTGAGAAGTTGAAGATTTAAGGATTTGAAGGTTTAAGAATTTGGGGGTTTGGAGAGTTGAAGATTTAGGGATTTGGGAGCTTGAGAATTTGGGGCTTTGATAAGTTGGTGTTTGAGGAATTGGAGATTTAGGGAAGTAGAAGTTTGAGAATTTGGGAGTTTGAGAAGTTGAAGATTTAAGGATTTGGGGGTTTGGAGAGTTGGAGATTTAGGGATTTCGAAGCTTGAGAATTTGGGACTTTGATAAGTTGGTGTTTGAGGAATTGGAGATTTAGGGAATTAGAAGTTTGAGAATTTGGGGGTTTGATGAATTGGACATGTAAGTAATTTGAAACTTTAAGAATTTAGGGGTTTGAGGAATTGTAGATTTAGGGATTTGGAAATTCGAAGATTCACAGCTTTGAGAAGTTAGGGGTTTGCGGAATTGTAGACTTACAGGTTTAGAGGTTTGACACCTTGAAGATTAAAAAATTCAAGGGTTTGAGAAGTTGGAGATTTAGGTATTTAGAAGTGTGAGAATTTATGAGTTTGAGGAACTTTAGGAATTTGTAGACTCAGATTTTGAGAGTTTGAGAAATTTAGGAACTTTGAAGTAGCATTTGCAAATTTGGCAAACATATCATTGGGTCTCCCTCAAAAAAGTATGAATTCATTCCTTACAAAGACCATTAGAAAAGCAAAGATACCAACATTCACAGTTTTAGTTTCAACAATCAAGAGAAGTCTTGATTAAACTATATATTAGGGGTACCGAAAAGTAATCAAAATTTTGTTTGCTGGCGAAAAACATTTATTTATTAAAGAAATCTTAAATCAACAAAATAAATCCATCACTTTCTGACGCTTTTTGCCAGCGTCAAGGCAACTGTTCCCTTCTTAAAAAAAGTCCTTAGATTGTTCATAGAAAAACTTTGAAATCATCGAAGAAATTTTGATTACTTTTCGGTACCCCTAATATAAACTTATTTGAAAAATGTAAACCTTGTTCTATTCCGCAAAACTTCCATTCTCACACACTCCAGTATTCCTACAAAAGAGTTCCACTTGCTACAACATCCTAGAATTACCATCCAACGATGACTTACCAATATTCTCATAACCCGTAAATTACGCAATTGTTCAGGTGTTAGCCACCCTGGCGCTGTCAATGGGAACCCTATCCTCCGGCTTGGCGAAGGGCTACACGTCCCCAGCTCTCGACTCGATTCTGGACAACCAACCCCCTCAGCTCTACCAGTCATCCAACAACGACACCTGGTGAGTTTCATTAACGATATCCTAGGCGTCAAGAAAGAAATCGAGTCGCTTAACGAGCAGAACAGGAAAGGTGAAACTTGGCATGTAATTGTAAGTTATAAGGTGTCGTGTTCGGTAACGATTAGCGTCGGCCGGCAGATAAGCAAATTAAATAAACGCTACAAGATAGTTCGCTGGTAATAAAACATGCTCGTATATATTACACTTCGAGACTTAACAAATGCATTAACGTCAGTATGGCACTTTTTTCGAACGTCCGCTTTCTCCGCGATATGGATTCGATACTTTATCGCGGTTAAAGAGGAAGCATAGCAGTGCAGAATTGTACTCGTTAATTTACCGGGACCAGTCTGAAATTCTGCTAGTAAAATCTTTGCGAAATCGGAGTTTATGGTTGGACTGTGGTGAGTGAGGTAGTGATGGCTTTGAGTCGGTGTAGGGTGAAGTTCTTTTGGGAGCGAGATATGTAAGATAGATACTGAAATTTATGAATTATCAAATGTGCGAACGCTCCAAGATTCTGAGTCCCGAACCGCAATTTGGATATTTCTAAATTATTAAATTCGAAAGTTTCTAAGTTTATGAATGATCGAATTTGGAAACAGAAGACGTGCAAAATCTCCACATCCTCAATTTCCCAAACTTCCAAGTCTCTACATCCTCAATTTCCCAAACTCCCAAGTCTCCACATCCTCAATTTCCCAAACTCTCAAGTCTCCACATGCTCAATTTCCCAAACCCCCAAATCTCCACATCCTCAATTTCCCAAACCCCCAAATCTCCACATGCTCAATTTCCCAAACCTCCAAATTCCCACATTCTCAATTTCCCAAACCCCCAAATCTCCACATTCCCAATTTCCCAAACCTCCAAATCCCCACATCCTCAATTTCCCAAACCCCCAAATCTCCACATCCTCAATTTCCCAAACTCCCAAATCTCCACATCCTCAATTTCCCAAACCTCCAAATCCCCACATCCTCAATTTCCCAAACTCCCAAACCCCCAAAACTCCAAACACCCCATTCCCCAACTACCCAAATCTCCAAATTTCATACTTTCCAAATTCCGAACCTTCGAACTCCCCAATTCCACAAATTCCCAAATTCCTAATCACCCAAACTCTCAAATCTTAACTCCGTCAAACTCCCAAAGTGAAACTGACTCGAGCGTAGTTCGAAGCCATCGCTAGCACTTTCAATTTCAATCCGAAAAGCAAAGATAAAGGATGAATTATGCCTTGTCTGAGAAACCGTACCCCGTGTTGTATCGATCGTTTGACAAACGAGTTCCTCCATCGAGATTAAGCAAAGGTGACGCAACAGCGTCAAAGCAAATCAATCATAGACAGGAGTGCAGAATTCCCGCCAGATAAAATGGCAAATATTCGAAAAGGAACGACCAGCCTCTCCTTGAACCGGTTACGAAGATCGATGCATTAACGCGGCGACGATCGATCGATCGATCGTGTAAGGCTTAATCGTGACCAACGACGGGTCTGTAAGCATTAGGGGAACGATTAGGTCCTCGCATAACGTTAGTCCCTGTCATCCGTAATCGTATTGCCATTTGTTGCAGGTCGGCTTTCTCGGTGACGCAACAAGAAGCCTCGTGGGTTGCGTCGTTGTCGATGCTGGGCGCATGGTTTGGCGCCATGATCGGCGACTGGATAATGAGGAGAGGTCGTAGATTGGCTCTCAGAGTCACATCCTTGCCTCTGGCTGCTGTTTGGATACTCACCAGCATCGCTCCGTGCGTGGAATTGGTCTATGTCACTAGTTTCATCGGGGGGCTTTGCTGTTCTGTTACCACCATGGTTGCACACGTGAGTTTGCTCTTTATATCTTTACGATTTTTAACCCCTTCCCGTGCCATTTATTTATGAGATGCGTCAGTCAAGACTAACCATTCAGGACTATAACATTAAAACGGACAAAGAAAATGAAAATGTTCTAAGTATTTTATATTTAGGGATCCTTGGCAACGCAAATTATAGTTGGATCTAAACTTCAAGTTGAAGAGTATTCGAAATTTGAGTAAGGTTTATCACATTTGAGTTGCGAGTGCGTCACGAGTGAGACTCGTCAAAGCACGGGAAGGGGATAACAACGATATTTTACCGACTTTTTAACACCCTTACAAGCACCCTGACGTATCTTCGGTATGTCAAGATCGATCTTTAACTCGATCATCGAATCTTTAGTGTCTCGTTGAGTAATTCTTGAGAAACTTTTAATTTCTTGACAAGAACCTTTAACATCTCGACGAGAAATGAACCTTTACCATCGAAGAACAGCTTGGCATCAAACTTTAGCATCTTAATAATCACTGAATTTTATATACTTTATCGATCAAAGGTTAACGTCCTATCGAGCTACGAATCTTTAACTACCCCCTGTAGTTTCACGAGTCTGACGTTCAAATGCGATCTCGAATTTTAATCTGAAGTCACACTTAAAAGATCCAATATAAAATAGATATGACATTTTAACTTTATTCGATTTAATATAGTAACTGCGAATAGTTCCTGACAAATCAAATGGTGAGAGGTTAATGACCATTTTATCGATCAATCTTTAATATCTTATCGACATCTCGTGAATCTGTTAAAGTGGTGGATCCAGCGGACAAGTACTAATTGAATACTTTCAGTTGGGCAATTTGTTTGGGACGAATTAACAGTTTCTCGTTATTGGAATCGTACGAACACTTGTAAATGACCACTGTCTTTAATTTATCTTTCGACAAATTGTAGAAGTCTCACACTTTTTATAGCTTCATTGTAATGAATATTAAGTGAATATTAACTGCGTCAAACTTGATTAATGACCTACTTGGGAATATGACATTAACTTTAAGATTGAATTCAAACATGGATGTCTAAAGACATCATCACATAGTCCTCCAACTGCATCCTTAAGAATACAATCTTTAATAACTGAGAAATGTCTTATTACCATCGCACCATTCTACAAACCTTCCTAATACACCTCCTAATCAGAGTTTCCAATTCGTTATCAGAATACTAAACGCTACAGAAAGTTGCCAGAAAACTGAAAGTTATTTATTTGGCAGAAAAAGTATTTGTCGTCGGAAGACTAAAAGCCGTCCGTCGACAGAATAGCAATCTGTTGTCAGAATACCGAAGGGTACCTGTTACCAGAATACAGAATACTATTTGTCGGTGCGAATAAGGGTGTTCAAGGTCGAGAGCGTGAATAATAAATATAAATGAAGGCCCGACGGGAGATAACGTTTCTGAATTCAGGTGTACATATCGGAAATCTCGATGCCGAGTATAAGAGGTTGCCTGTCGGCGATGCTGAAGGTGCTCGGTCACGTTGGCGTGTTATTATCGTACATAGCAGGCACGTACATGAATTGGCGGCAAAGCGCGCTGCTGGTAGCAGTGGCACCGTCAATGCTCTTTTTGGGCACTCTCTTTATACCGGAGACGCCGTCGTACCTCGTTCTAAACGGAAAAGACGACGAGGCTGCCAGCAGTCTGCAATGGCTGCGAGGTGACCATGTCGACATACGCCACGAACTACAGGTAATATTCTCAACTTTCATTCGGATATGGACAGAAAATGGACTCAAACTTCGATTCAACCTTTTTCAAATATCCTTTTTGGGTTATTACTCTTTTCATATGCTTGCTCTTAGCTTGCTTCACGTTAGGCCTTTGTATGCCCCTCTGTGTTGTGGAGAATGGATGCACCATTGGGATTTGATGGGAAAGTTGAAACGCTACTGAAATTCTATTCTATACCAAACTCATGAAGTTCCAAATTTGTGAATTTTCCAATCCTCAAAATCCTAAGCTCCTAGGCTCTAAACTCATAATATTCCAAACTTTAAAATGTCCAACTCTCCAAGAGTGTCAAATACACAAATTCCTACAGAAGATTCCTACTTCCCCACCAGGAAAGAAGTCCATTGGCTTCACATCGTAGTATCGCGCCACATTTACCCTAACCATTTTAATTTTACATCTAATAAAATTATTGCAGGTAATTAAAACGAACATCCTGGCCTCAAGAGCGAAGCAATACGAGCTAACGTTCAAGAACAGCATGTTCACACCGCGGCTGTACAAACCGATCGCGATCACATGCGGTCTGATGTTCTTCCAACGCTTCTCTGGCGCGAACGCGTTCAGTTATTACGCGGTGATCATATTCCGTCAGACTCTGGGCGGAATGAATCCGCACGGCGCGACCATCGCTATCGGGTTCGTGCAATTATTGGCTGCTCTGTTATCAGGTACGGTAATCCGAGCTATGATGGCTTTATCGAAAGGAACAATTCCAAACGTTATAGACCGTCGGTAGGAAATCTCGTTTATTCCGTTCACAGGATTCCTGATCGACATCGTGGGCAGGCTACCGCTCCTGATAGCCAGCACCGTGTTCATGTCTCTGGCGCTAGCAGGTTTCGGCAGTTATGCCTATTACATGTCGCAAACGCAAAATCTCGGATATCCAGACTCGCCGGTGGGTGGCCAGCACGATTGGATACCGCTCCTCTGCGTGCTAGTCTTCACGACCGCTCTCGCTCTGGGCATATCGCCAATTTCGTGGTTATTGATTGGCGAGCTCTTTCCTCTGGAGTATCGCGGCCTCGGCTCGAGCATCAGCACCAGCTTCAGCTACTTCTGCGCGTTCGTCGGTATTAAACTCTTCATGGATTTTCAGCAGGTAAGCGGGTCTTTATGCTCCGCGATCGCCGACTGCGTTCACTTATACATATTCAAACTTGCAACATTTCTGTACTTCTGAAAATCTGAGACTTCTGAATTTTTGTACTTTTGCATTTTTTAATTCCTGGATTTTCTGAGCAACTGGAAAATTCAGCGAGGAATTCTACCGTGCTAGATGGCCATACCATGTCAGTCGGTACTATACCCTTGCTAGGTAGTCGAATTTTTGCGGTTCTTTGTCTGTACCAGGTCAGTTGTTGGAAAGAGTGCTGACTACCTACTGGCTATTAGCACCAGGCATAGTCTAGACGGTCCCTTGCAGAAAGAATTCGATATCGATCTCTCCTGATATCGATCTCTCTCTTTCTTGACCTCTGCCCAGATACACATTCTCGACTTCTCTACACAATTATGCAGTGATACGTCCTTTTATTTAAAAGACAGACATAGCAGAGATAAAGTCCCTCATCTTCCCCAGATTATAACAACATCGTAACAATGTAAGTATGTTCGCAGACACTGGGTCTACACGGAGCGTTCTGGTTCTACGCCGCGGTGGCGGTGTGCGGCCTTTGCTTCGTGGTGTGCTGCGTGCCAGAGACGAAGGGTAAGCAGCTGGACGAGATGAACCCGGAGTACGCGCAAGCTCGGTAGTATAAGGCCTCGCTGACCGGGGGCCTGTCGAACCTCGAGAAGGCGAACAAGCCCCTGCCAGGTGGAGCGTATCCCAACCAGCACGATCCTCGTGATCTGTACAACGGGAATCCACCGATGGACGTGCCGACCACGTCCCGACAAACGTTCCAGCGCGGCAATACTCGGAAGCTGTCCGACTATTGCAGCATCTTCGCGGAGAAGACGAACAGAATCGGGCGGAACGTCGGGAGTTTCGTGCAGTCGCGC